AAGTTTAGCAATAATGGAAAAAGGAAGCATTAACACCCATTTTGTGGGGCTTGTGTGGGCATAAATTTTGAACTTTTTGGGTAAAACAAGGAGCTCAATTGCTGGATCTTATGTTAAAAATATGTTTAATTTTTTATGAAGCTACCAAAGTGTCTTCCAAAGTAGCAGTATCATTTTGTATTTCCACCAGCAATGAATGAATGTTCTGATTAGTCTACAGCCTCACCAGCATTTGGTGTCAATGTTCTGGATTTTACTCATTCTTTAAATTTGCATTTCCATGATGACACATTATGTGGATTTTTTTTCTTGTGATCAGTTTCCATGTCTATATCTTCTTTGGTGAAGTATGTATTAAGATCTTTGGCCCAATACTTAAATTGGGTTGCTTGGGGGCCGCATTTGTGGTATAGTGGGTTAAGCTGCAGCCTGTAATGCTAGCATCCCATATGGCTGCTGGTTCATGTCCCAGTTGTTCCATTTCCAGTCCAGCTCCCTGCTAATGCACCTGGGAAATCAGAACTCCTTGAGTCCTGCACTCATGTGGGAGACCCGATGAAGCTCCTGGCTCCTGGCTTCCATCTGACCTTGCTCTGGCCATTGTGGCCATTTGGGGAGTGAACCAGTAGATAGAAGATATCTGTGTGTGTGTGTGTGTGTGTGTGTTTCTGCCTTTCACTGTGTAACTCTGCCTTTCAAATAAATAAATAAATAAATCTTTAAACAAATAAATTGGGTTATTTGTCGCTCCCCCTCTTCGTGGAGGAACGACACAGGACCCTGCGCTGTTCTTTCGTCTGCTCAGCCCTCCCCGGGTTTGCTGCTGGTTCTTCCCGGGTTGGCTACTGACCCTTCCACCTCCGTGGAAGGGCGGTTCCCCCTGCCACATTCCCCACTTCCGCGGGGGAGCGGCACACCGCCCGCCGGCTCTCTCGGGGGCTGCACAGGTGTTCCTTCAGATAGATGTTCCTGGTGCATGTTGTCTCTCTCCTCCTTTATAGTCCTCTTCCACCAATCCCAACTCGGCTGCCCACACGCCGAGTACGCTGCTCTCCTCCAATCAGGAGCAGGATCAGCTCCTGGAGGTCATCACTCAAGTTGGCAAGAGGCAGCTGCGTAGAAGCTGTTTTCTCCTCTCCTAGCGCCATATTGTGGGAGAGCAGATGCATAGAATAAGTCTTAATTCCAGTAACTTAGTCTAGTCCGAGTTGCTCCCCACAGTTATTTGGTTTTTGTTGAATTTTTAGAATTCTTTGTATATTTTGGAGATAGTCCTTTATTAGATGTCTTTCGTTTTCCTTTTTTTTTTAAGCTTTTATTTAGTAAATATAATTTCCAAAGTACAGTTTATGGATTTGTTTTCCTTTTTTTGTGAGATTTATTTATTTGAAAGAAATAATTTTATTAAAAATTTATTTTTATTAAAAATTTATTTGAGAGAGAGAGAGAGTGAGATCTTTCATCCACTGGTTTACTCCCCAGATGGCCACAATAGCCAGAGTTGAGCTAATCTGAAGCCAGAAGCCAGGAACCAGGGGCCAGGAGATTCTTCCAAATCTCCCATATGGGTGCAGGGGCCCAACCACTTGGGCCATCTTCCACTGCTTTCCCAGGTGCATTAGCAGGGAGCTGGATTAGAAATAGAGCAGCTGAGGGGCTGGAGCTGTGGCATAGCAGGTAAAGCCGCCACCTGAAGTGTTAGCATCCCTTTGGCACCAGTTCAAGTCCAGGCTGCTCCACTTCTGATCCAGCTCTCTGCTAATGCACCTGGGAAGGCAACGGAAGATAGCCTATGTCCTTGAGCCCCTGCACCCACATGGGAGACCTGGAAGAAGCTCCTGGCTCTTGGCACTGGATTGGCCCAGCCCTGGCCATTGCAGTCATTTGGGGAGTGAATCAGTGGATGGAAAATCTCTCTCTCTGTCTCTCTCTCTGTCTCTCCATAACTCTGCCTTTTAATAAATAAATAAATCTTTAAAAAAAGGGAAGAAGTGGAGCAGCTGGGACTTAAACTGGTGCCCATATGGGATGCCAACTCCACAAGTGGTGGCTTAACCTGCTATGCTTCAGTGCCAGCGTCTGGATATGTTTTTTACAAATATTTCCTAGTCTGTGGTTTGTGTTTTAATTATTTTGACAATATCTTTTGCAGGGCAGAAATTTTTAAATTTTATGAAGTCCAGTTTATCAATTCTTCCTTTCATGGGTTATGGCCTTTTGTGTTGCATCTAAAAAATCATTGTCAAGCCCAAAGCCATCAAGATTTTCTCCTATGTTTTCTACTAGGAGTTTTACTGTTTTGCATCATAAATTTGTTTGGGATCCATGTTTCTTTTCATAATCTATATTTTTTCGATTAGACTATTCTTTTGTTAGTAAGGTATAGTAGCTATTTACATATTATTTATCTTATATTAATTATTACTATCATTTATGTAGAGTATTTTAACACAGAGTAGAATCTTCTCTCCAGAGATGTTCATGCATATAATTATATGCTAGGGATATTATGGGGGTCATTTATGGATCATATCTTTGGACAAAATAGTTTTTTCACTTGGTTTTTAAAGATTTCTTTTATTTATTTGAAAGGCAGAGTGATGATAGAGAGAGGGACATGTGGAGAAATACAGAAGGAGTTCTTCTATTTGCTGGTTCACTCCCCAAATGGCCACAATATCCTAGGCTGGGCCAGGCTGAAGGCTAAGGAGTCAGGAACTCCATCTGGGTCTCCCACATGTGTGGCAGGGACCCAAGTACTTAGGCCATTCTCTGCTGCCTTCCCAGGTGCCTTAGCTGGATGGGAAACAGAACAGCCAGTACTTGAATTGGCACTCTGATATGGGATGCTGGTGTCACCAGCAGTGGCTTAGCCCACTGCACTACATTAGCCTTGGTCCCTATGATTTTTGAAGTAAGTTACCATTCTGAGATTTTATGATACATTGGTTGAATACTGCTTTAGTTAGCCCAGAAAATCTAGGTCTGGTCAACTATGCAAACTGCCGGAGCTGTGGTGTAGCAGGTAACGGCTTTACCTGCTACACCACAGTGCCAGCATCCCATATGGGCACCGGTTTGAGACCCTGCTGCTCCACTTCTGATCCAGCTCTCTATTATGGCCTTGGAAAGCAGTAGAAGAAGGCTCAAGTGCTTGGGCCCCTGCACCCACGTGGGAGACCCAGAGGAAGCTCCTGGGTCCTGGCTTTGGATTGGCCCAGCTCCTGTGGTTGTGACCATTTGGGGAGTGATCCAATGGATGGAAGACCTCTCTCTGCCTCTGCCTCTCTGCAACTGCCTTTTGAATAAATAATTAAATCTTTTTTTCTTAAAAAAAAAAAAAAAAAGCCTGATTTGCTATAGTCGACTTAGCGCTCCTTAGAAAGCAGAGACTCAACACTTAGGAATCACACATTTGTTGAGTATCCAGTGACCCACACCTTTTTCCCAAGAAGAAAGAAGCAGCTGTGGCCTATCACCTTTGAGTATTTTGGCCAGCAGCCTGGCATGTTGGGAATTTATGTAGTGATGCTTTTTTGAGATATTCAGACCCTCCCAGAGCAAAGCAAAGTCACTACAGGGAACCGAGAATATTAGAGCTTTATGCCTGTTTTGTAATTTGACTGCAAGAAACAAAGCCAATTTCTGCTCAGCAGCTAATATAAGATGAACTGAAAACTACAGAGAAACATGTTTAAAGACAATTAAAAAATGTGTGGTATTTTTGTCCAGTCACTCACATTACCCATCTTGTAAGCAGCTTGAAAACATTTTGCACGCCAGAAAGATGAAAGCATTTGATATTTGTGTCCCAGAGGTGGAGGGACAAGGAGAGCTCTGGATTCTTGAAGTCCCCAGAATCTGGTTCTGCATATATTGCACATAGTTACCAACTGCTCAAAATCAGCAAGGCCTCATCTGGGCCTCTGGACATGTCAAGGAACAGTATGTGGCTGATTAAAGTGAATGGGCTTAGAAATACAGGGCAATAAGAGGTCAGAGATTGCTGGGGATTTTTGTTTAAGTGGTTTTTTTTTCCAATTTAAGCAGCAAGACTTCACAAACTTAGAGTACTAAAAGTAGAAATTTTCTAAAAGGGATGATGTTAGGTGAGAGCATATCAATTATTATGATTATTTCATAGGAAAATGTTTATTATGTCAATTTTTTTTCTTTTCCTTTTGAAGTTTTTCTTCTTTTAGCTCTTTCCTAATGAGTTTTCTGATCCCTGCAGTCCTAGCCCTCGCTTCTTTGCCCCTTTCAAAGTCTATTCTTTCCTGTCTTCAGCAAGTCCCATCAAAGGAATGTATACTTTGCTTTTTATGTGTGTCTTCTTTCCTTGAGGACACATGCCCTGGGACCACCTGATGTTGTTCCAGAAAGATGAGTTCTGGTGCGACAAAGGTGCCAGCCAAGTGCACAGTTCTGACCACAGTCTGATTTGGAGGTGGTGTCAGGAGCCCAGGAGTGAACACCGCTACTCCTGCCGAGATTTGTAGATAGTAGCTGATGCTCTGGGAGACGGTGCGCAAGCAGGGCCCCGCCCGGATTCATGCTAGTCAAGTAATTGTTGGGCCCACTATATTTGATCAGCCATGGAGAACACCCGAAGACATCCCACCTGTTAAGCACAAGGCACAAACAGTCAATCTTCTCTGTCAGTTGAAAGAATGGAGGGATGGGAAAAGGGAGGGCATGAGGGAGGGTGAGAGATTGGAAGAACTCCTAAAGAAGAGGCTTTTCTTTGCTCACCAAAGTCACAAGCCTCCAGGTTGGGTTCAGTAATGACAGGGAGGAGCTGCTATGTGGATGCGCCCCCTGTGTGGCATTAAAAAAATGGAGCAGGAGCATATGCAAGCAGCACGCCCTGCAGCTCTAGCAGGGGATGGCGAAGTGCAAGCTCCAGGGTGAGAAAGAAGCCTGTGCAGAGAAACCATCTGGGAAAACTCTTAGGCTCATTTGAATTGAACCAAGCTGAGACCGTAAGCATTTCTTTCCAGGTTGATCCAAGCCGAACAATGACACAACGTGAAGGCTGATGTTCAGTGGTGGAGGTGCCCATGTGTCCTCGCCTAACAGCTGTCACGGTGAGTCCATGCTGCTCCTGAAAGCTGGATAATTAACTGCCGGGTGCTTTGAAGTCCGTGGAAAGCTGCTTCCTACTGTGGTGCCTTTGCAGCCCCTACAACCGCCACGTCAAACGCTTAGTGCCTCAACCACATCAGTCCCGCTGACTCCTTTAGATGTGCAAGCTTCTCAAAGGTATTCAAATCCCTAAAGCTGCCATTTGAGGTCTTTTAAGACAGGTGTTAAAAAACTGGGACTTCTTTTTTTAATCATTAGATTATTAACTAAGTTTGCCAAAACCATGATTGTAAGTTACAGATGTTTGTACCTTTGTTGTTGTTGTTGTTGTTGAGGGGCACTGTTTTCAAAGGCGTTGTTTTTGGGAGAGGTGTATACAGGATGGTTAGACCTAAGAATTGTTCAGAAAGTGGCGTTATACTAAGAAACATTAATAAGAATATGTTAACTTATTTTTGCAAAGCTTAATAAAGAGGCCAATTTCACTTCTCTCTACCTTAGACGTATCAAAATAGGCATTGGGTAAAACATATTTATAAAAGATTCAGACTTTATGTTCAGAACAAGTGAAGGCTTAAACTAGTGTGTGTGTGTACTGAAGGTAGCAGAGAAAAGTACACCTGAAGAGCATTTGGGCCCATTTGTGTTCCATATGCATATCTGTGACACAGGGGCAGCTGAAACTCTGTAAAGGACTTTGGTTTTTATAATTTCACTTTGAGACTGCTGAAAAGGAAAAAGAACTACCATGGTATTTTTAAAGATAACGTTTCACACCCTAATTGTGAAATGGATTATTAAGACTCTGAAATTATGTTCGTTATTTCCATATATGTTATGTTGTTGTAAGGAGAATACCAGTGTTTTCATGCTGAGATTATTTGGTAGGGTTAGTAAAGGGTAATTGCCAGCTTGGGTTTATCTTTGTAGTAAAAAATCAAATGTGGCCTGTATTGAAACAGAAATTCAAGACTTAACCTGGTCTGTGGCTATCATTTGCACTTAGCAAAGCTTCGTAGTTATTTTTCTTTTAAATTTACATTGTTGTGCCTTTAGGGAGTAGAGGGGAAGGCATAAGGAGTGTTTTTGGGGATAAAGTTAAAATTGTTTCATTAAATGATAATGGACTTAATAGTCCAGTTAAAAAGAGCCAATATATTAGCCTGAATTAAGCACTCAGTGCTGACATGGCTGATGGTCAGGAATTGCATTTGGGCCTACAGAGCTGAACATCATATGTGAGCATAGGTTAGGGATGGGTTTCGTTCTTTTTCTATAAGGAAATAACCATTATGTTTATAAATTACTCCAATTTTTTAACAGAACAGCTATTTCAGATGCAATCAATCGGTTTGTTTTGGCCCAAAGTAAGATTCGGACATCTATCTGAACATAAGGAATGCAGCATGGCTCACTGGATGCCACAATAAACAGAACTGGATATAAAATTCTGTACTATGTCTCTTTCTCTAGCACCTTGGCTATAAAACGGGCTAACAATGCTATTGGGAGGAATTAGTAATTTTGTATTATTTCGCAAATGCACAAGAGATTTTGCTGATTAGTTTTTGGAAAGGGAACTATTAAAGCTGGGTAAATGTATGTCTTGAAAAATGCATTTGCTCTTGGTTGATATGAGATTTAAAGTTGGGGCAGGCTGCATCAGAGCTCATCTTTGACAAAGCTTCTCAACTCACTCTCCGACCACTGGCTTCTCCCTGAAGTGTCCTCCCCCCGCGAAGTGTTCCTTCTCCCTGAGTGTCCTCCCTGGTGGTAAAGGACACTTTACCACCAGGGGGTTTCAGCTCTTCCTTCTGCACTGTACTTATCAAGGTTGCAAACATGTTTTCTGGATTTCTGGATTCAGTAGTCAAAAGGCTTAGTAGCATCAGGTCCATGTTGCATGGCTCAATTGGGTTAGAGCTGGTTTGGGCTCCATTTCCCTCCTAATCTGGCGCTGGAAACACTGGAGTTTTGACCTTTGCACTATGATACAAATGACAGTAAATGCTATTATCCTTCCTCTAAATTCTTACAGGTTCACAGAGAAGGAAGGCACATGCAGAGATTACACTCTACTAGTGGAATTCTAGGCTTCGGCCAGGGAGAGGACCTGGAGGAGAGCAGAGCAGGTGCTCCTCATGTCCAGTAAAGCCTGTCCCTACTTTTGCCAGGGGCAAGGCTTGTCCTGAGCCCTCACCAGAATAGCAGACAGGGCAGCCTGGACTTCCAAGGGTAAGGGTTGGGGGACAGAAACACAGGGGTGCCAACTGGAAGGGGGTGATTCACTGCCCAGTTCTACCCACCTCCTTCCCTTCAAGGGCTTCTTCCTGCTGGAGGTAGGTGAAATAGGAATTGAATGCAGAATTCTTGCATCTGTTATTTTTAACTTTATTATGATTATTATTTTGAAAGGACTTCAAAGAATCTGGCAGGTGCTAACTTCAAAAAATCCACATAAAACACTGCCCAGACAGTTCAGTTCTGTTGGGCAACTCTGCAAGGCCATCAGGCATCCAGTGCTAATTTTTTTTTTTTTTTTTTTGCTTTAGCCTCTTGTTTGGAAACTTCAATTTGAGAATGAGACTGTATATTTTCTCTATGACAATGCAGGCTTTATAAGCTTTGCCTAAGTTTTTATTGGCACTCTGGGAAGCTTTCTGTGTGGGCAAAATGTTGCTATTGCCCAACATTTGGCCAGTGGTTTAGGAGACTGAAGAAACACATCTCTGGGTTTCGCACATTTGATTCTCCCATGTTGATGGTGTTTTCCTGGAGAGTTTGCAAGTACACATGCTCAGGGCTTAGCATAAGTGCTCAGAGCTGGTTTCTTAGCTATTTGCTGAAATAGGAGATGAGCAAAATAAAGATTTTTGTGAGCATGCTGCTGACCTAGCCATCTTTCCTATTATGAGGAAGAGGACTTCGCACTGGACAGTCCTCTTTGCTGCAGATACATTGATCCTTTTATTTCATTGCTTTCTTAGCCAGTTCGATGCCTGGCAACCTGGAAGTCTCTTGTTGAAAATATTTACCGTCTCCCTATCATGTATATTATGGCATGAACATATGTGACACTCGAATGATGCACAGGATGAGTAAGACCTGGCTCCTGCTCTCAGCAGATTTAACTGGTGAGGCAGGACTACAGCGGATGCAGTGGGCCTTATTCAGTGCTGTGTATTAAGCAATCAGTGGGAGATCTATCTGTATGCTTGACTTAGTGCTCCAGTTGTTCAAGAAAGGAGGTAGTCTGTTTTGGGCTGGGCTGTTCAGAATAGGTGAATATGGTCCTAAACTGGGCTGCAAGGGTTGAGAGGGATTAGGCAGACTATAGGCATGTGAGTTTTAAGGTGAAAATGGAGTTACAGGGCAAAGACGTTTGGGTCAGACTGAGGCAGGGGAAGACTAAAGAACATCTCTTTATTCTATAGCTAATGCTGAAATATTTCAATGCAATGGTGGGAAGGATGTGATGAAAGCAATGTTCTAGGAAGATTAATCTGGAAGCTTAACTGATTAGAGCAATGGGAGATACAATATGGAGGAAGGCTAATTGGGAGGTTCTTTCTTTAAACTATTTATTTATTTGTTTGAAAGGCAGAGTTACAGAGACAGAGGGAGAGACAGAGAAATCTTCCATCCTCTGGTTCATTCCCCAAATGACCACAGTGACCAGGGCTGGGTCAGGCCAAAGCCAGGAGCTTCATCTGGGTCTCCCACATGGGTGCAGGGGCCCAGGTACTTGGGTCGTCTTTCACTGCTTTCCTAGGCGCATTAGCAGGGAGCTGGATCGGAAGTGGATGTGAACCTGTGCTCATAAGGGATGCCAGCATTGTAGGCAGTGGCTTAACCCGCTATGGCATAACACAGGCCCCTAGAGGCTCTTGAATAATGCAGGCAGATAGTGAATGGAGCCTAATTTAAGGTGGGAGAGGAAAGAAAAGCAGGGAAGGGATGATTTTAGAGAATCGCCCTTTAGGAAAGACAGTTGAATGTGGTTGGATGAGGAAAGAGGGGAGGAGTAGACGGCACTGTAGTTTACCTGCAGCTTCCAGCCTGGAGGAGAACAGGAACTGAGAGTTGTGCCCTGCCTTTCATTGCACGTGCTCACTTTTCTCCAGCCTTGCAGGTCTGCTTGCTGTTCCTTGGGCAAGGTAAGTCTTGCCACTCGAATTCTCTGCACTTGCCAGTCAGCTCAGAACACTCTCCCCCTGACGTGTGCCTTCACTTGCAGTCCCACCTGGCCTTCTCCATTAATTTATGTCACCTTTTTTTTTTTTAAAGATTTATTTATTTATTTGAAAGTCAGGGTTACACAGAGAGAGAAGAGGCAGAGAGAGGTCTTCCATCTGATGGTTCACTCCCCAATTGGCCACAATGGTCGGAGCTGTGTTGATCCAAACCAATGTCACCTTTTTAAACATTGGAGTGCTCAAATAATGCACTAAATATTAAAATATGACTCTTCCCAATGTTCTTGCAAATTTTTAGGGTAGAGAGCCTAAGCTGTAGAAATTGCTCAGATGTGCCCTCGTCAGAGCAGACGCCTTGGGATACTCCGGCTCCACTTTCCTTTAACCTGCTTGATTCTTCTTCATATAATGCTTCCTCAGCTGACAGAGTATTATATAATCATCTGTTTTGTTATTTTCTATCTTTTTTAGTAAAATGTAATGGTGTCTATGCATGACTTTGCCTCTCTTTTTAATGGCTGTATTCTCAGCACCTATTATAGTGCATGGCACTTTTAAGTTCCCAATAAATATATGAATTAAATGAATAAAACAGCAAGTTCAAAAAACAGGCTAATTTAGGAAGAGGAGGAGATGCAAGATGATGAGTTATCTTTGAAAATGGATCATCCTAGAAGAAATAACTTTAAAAAAGGTTTTATGTATTTATTTGAAAGGCAGAGTAAGAGAGAGAGGGAGAGAGAGAGAGAGAGAGATTGATTTTCCATCTGCTGATTTACTCCTCAGATAGTCACAATGACCAGCGCTGGGCCAGGCTGAAGTCAGAAGCCTGGAAATTCTTCCAGCTCTCCCATGTGGGTGGCAGGGCCCAGGTAGTTGGGCCATATTCTGCTGCTTTTCCAGACTATTAGCAGGGAGCTGGATTGGAAGAGGAGTCAGCAGGACATGAACTGTCACTCATATGGGATGCTGGCATTGCGGCAGTAGCTTGCCCTGCTCCACCACAATGCCACCTCCAAGAATTGACTTTTAGATACTGGCTGACAGGAGCTCAAGGTTAGGAGGCAGCTTTGGGGTTCGTGTAGGTCAACCTTCTTCGTAAGCATCAGAACAGCCCCTGTGGGCTCCACTGGTGCTTATTTCCGGGTTCTTGCCATACTGTAAGAGTCCACTTCTTTTCCTCTGTGGTTGGTTCATCTTTTCTTTTGGAAGGAGGGGAGAGCAGCTTTGGAATGGGAGGGTGTATTGGGAAGCCATTGACTGTGAATGGATGACCCGAAAGTCCCGATTTTCTCTCTTAAGCCATTATATAAATATTCAGTGCTTTTTAGAAACTCCAATTATAATTATTGGAATGATTTACTACAAACTTCGTGAAACATATTTGACATAGCCTGCCATAATCCAAATGAGACCAAACACCCAAGCAAGGCACACCTGTAGCTCATTGCTTTCCACTGTTTCAATTGCTCTAATTCCCCCTTGTGCTAGGAGCATATTAGAATCACCTGCCAAACTAGTTTACAGTTTAATGAAGGAACTCATATGCATTCATTTGGTTTTGCAAAATAATCTCCTTAAGAAAACACATTTTTTCTTTTCAAATGCTGTTGAGCCTTTTCTTGATCCAAACCACTGTGTAACATCACTGCTGACTGTATTGAAATGAATGAATACATCATAAAGCACTTGACTGCTGCCTGACGTGACCTATAGAGAATATAATTGTCTGCTGTGTGACGTAGGCACATAACTCCATTACTGGATTCTTATGGAGCCATCGGTCCCATGGATGGTCCTTTTCTTGGCAAATCAGCCACCAAATTCCAAAGCTGCCTTACTGGCAAGGGCCATCTTCAGGTCAGATTTCCCCAGCCCGAGTCCTGCAAATGTTCCCAGAAGCCTTGGGGTGCCCAGGCTATTGTCAGAGTCTGCTTAGAAAGCTTGTCGTGCTTTCAGTAACCCTAGGCCACAGCTTCCCATGTTCCCCTGGCCTGTTGGACAACATCCTCAACAGGTGCTCCCCTAATTTTAATCCTCCAGTCACATTTTTGTGTGGGCTGGGGATCAGCCACCATCCAGAAATGAGGTGGCGAGGAGCTTAGTATTGTTCTGGCCTTTGTGTTACCTGTTTTCCCCAGATATCTTTTTTTTTTTAAAGATTTAATTTATTTATTTGATTGGCAGAATTACAGAAAAAGGGAGAGACAGAGAGAAAGGTCTTCCACCTACTGGTTCACTCCCCAAATGGCCTCAATGGCTGGGGCTGAGCCCATCTGAAGCCAGGAACCAGGAGCTTCTTCCAGGTCACCCAAGTGGGCACAGGGGCCCAAGTACTTGGGCCATCCTCCACTGCTTTCCCAGGCCATAGCATATGGCAGGATCAGAAAAGGAGCAGCTGGGACACAAACTGGTGCCCATATGGGATGCTGGTGCTAAAGGTGGAGGCTTAGTCTACTTTGCCACAGCGCCGGCCCCTCCCCAGATATCTTTAAATGGCACATAGTCTACTGAAGAGAGATTAGTGGGTGTAGATTATTGGTGGGGGGCAGTTTAAAAAACTCTGTTACATGCAATTTGCATAAACCTGGGGTCCACACAGTATTGTGAATTTCTGTGGAATCCAAGGATTTTAGCGGTATGCCTATCTAAACAGTTTACTATGGTTCAGAACATTCCATGTATTTTCTCAGTTGGCTAATGAAGAAGCAGGTAACATTTTTTTCCTACCACCTTAAAAAAAATCACAATCCTGAAGGAGAAAGTTTTGATTAAAGAGGAGAGGGCAAGAGGAGGAGTAACTTTGGAGCAGGGCAGAGATACCCGTGGATAGATCTGCTGGAAGGAGGAGGAGTCAGGGGACCAGGTGCTAGGCAGGTGCATTAGGCAGCCCTTATTCCCCACCAGGAAACACCCGAGGCAGCCTAACTTTATAAAGGGCAGAGGTTTACCTTGGCTCACAGTTCTGGAGGTTCACAGGTCAAGATTGGGTCCCACCTCTAGATATGCTGGTCTTGTTGGCAGAGTGCCAAGGGGGCACAGGTTATCACATGGCAAGAGACAGGGAACATGGATGTCTGTGTGGTCTCTTATGGTACCACCATGATTGAACCACAAGGCTGTACCCCAAGGACCTAATCCAAAGGCTCCACCCCTAAATAACTGAATTAAGCTTCCACCCTGTTGGTACCCTATTTGCTTTGAGAACTAAACTCCTGAGTTTTGCTGGGATGTGGGAGTGGGGTCTTGCTTCAAACCATAGCAGAGGGTGATATAAAAAAGAGGTTGTTCAGGACACAGTGTATATTCTCCTGTACTTCAGTGAAAGACCCTGGAATTGTCACACCTGATCCAATTCCTGGGCTAGCTTTGCCTTTGCCCTGCTATTTCAGGGTGCTGATGTGATATCCGCTCTCAAGCTAAGCTTGATTAGAATCTCGAGAGGTGTGTTTGAGAAGTCTACTGAGGGTGAACATGTTGTTGACGTCGTTATTGCTGCTTTAATGGTAATAATAGTTACCACTTTTTTAAAAAAGATTTATTTATCTGAAAGAGCAGAAGGCAGAAAAGGAGACAGAGAGAGAGAGAGAGAGAGAGAGAGAGATGGATTGATTTTCCATTTGTTGGTTCACTCCCTGAATGGCTATAACAGCCAGGTCTAGGCTCAGCTGAAGTCAGGAGCCAGGAACTCCATCCTGGTCTCCCACTTGGGCCATCCTCTGCCGCCTTCCCAGGCACTTTAGCAGGAAACTGGATTGGAAGTGGAGTAACTGGGACTCGAACCAGCACTCTGATGTAGGATGTGGGTGCCCAGGTTGCTGCTTGATCTCCTGTGCCACAATGCCAGCCCCTGTAGTTAGCACTTTTCAAAAGCTTGTTATGTGCTACAAGCTGCTATGTGTAGGCTATGCCTTACAGAATTCATTTTTACAAAAACCTTGGAGGTTGGTGTTCTTACTTTAAAGGTTATCATTTCCTGGCTGGGTTCTCACAGCAAATAGCAGATCTAGGATTTGAACTCCAACTGACTCCAACATTTATGTGACAGAATATCAAATAAATAATTTAACTCTACTCTCTTATCCCTCCATTATGCTATTTGAGCCAGTCCAATGCATCACAGCACTAAAGCAGCAGCAAGAAGACCAACCGCCCTGTTAGCTGTTTCCAGACTCAGGGTCTCAAGCTGCCTTCATGTGTGTCAGCTTTTCTAATCCCTGGGCTACTTCTTCCTGATTCCAGATGTCCAGTAATAACTTATCATCTACAATTAATTACTCTCTTTTAGATGTAGTCCCATCCTGTGAAATAAAGCAAAACCAAGCACTTCTCTTGATTTAATGCTGGCATTTTGTTCTGATTAATTAAGAACTAAAAGTGCTAAAATAGAAACCAAAGCCCTTGGAAGTCCAACAGGAAGCAAACACAATGAGACAGCACCAGGCTCAGAAATAACCTTGAGAAGTGGTGGAAAGGGCAGGAGACAGGAGACTGAGCGCACCACTGCGTACACCGTCTGATAGGGCCGCTTGTACCTGCACCCAGAGGGCGACCTGGGGCCTGTGTTTCTCTGAGGCCACTTGTTCGGTGCACACCCTCAAGATTCATCCCCCTGAGCTACCTGAAAGTGGGCCTTCTTACAAAGAGGAAAAGGGGGCTGGTGTTGGGGTGCAGCAGGTTAAGCTGCCGTCTGTGACACGGGCATCCCATAGGAGCATGGATTGGGATCTCAGCTGTTCCACTTCCGATTCAGCTACCTGCTAATACATCAGAGAAAACCCTGGAAGATGGTCTGAGTACCTGAGCCCCTGCCACTCTTGTGGGAGACTGGAAGAGGGAATTCTAGGCTCCTGGTTTGGCCTCACCCTGACTGGCTATTGTAGCCACTTGGGAACTGAGTCAGCAAGTGGAAGATCTGTCTCTTTGTTTCTCTCTTTGTAACTCTGCCTTTTAAATAAATAAATAGTAAAAAAAATCCTAGCTCACATGTGTCTACCTACTTACCTATCTATAAATATAAAAAAATCCAAAGAGAGAGAGAGAGAGAAGAGAAAACAGTATTGCTTTGAAAATCCTAAGGGAGAGGAGCAATGAGGAAACAGGATATTCTGGGCTACCCTCTGGGTCTGGTTAGCCTTCATGGTGGGGGGAGAGTGTTCCTGGCAAATGGAACTGATGGTGGTGGTGGATCCCAGGAGCAGCAGGTTCCGGGGACTTTGACAGGAAATGGGCCGTGCGGGAAATGTCTGAGACTATTTCCCGGGGCTTCCTTGGAGGCCAGTTGACCATAGCTCCAGGCTGGATGGAGTTCTAGAGACAAAAGCTCATCCTTGCTCTTCCTTCAACTTAGAGGATTAAGAAAATGCGACCTTAGGGTGGCCATGGGGACAAGCCCACTGTCCCGGGAGGGTGGCTCACTGCTGTGACTCTGCACATCTGGAGGAAGAGGCTGTCTGTCTGTCTGTCCATTTATCTATGCTGTCTGCCCTCCTCATGGTCTGCAGGAAACTTAGCATTCTTGGCATGTGACCTGGGGGAACATGGCTGTTTATAGCTATCTGTCCTTGAACCTGGTACCTGTGTGCTTCCTGGCTGAAGTGATCTCCAGGTAAATAAAGACAGTTACTGCCATCAGCCCTCTTCTGTACATGAAAGTATTTCTTCTAGCATGTGGCTCACTCATCATGAACCACCTTTCCATAGGGGGCAGATAATGAATGCAAAAAGGACTGTTTCCCTGGGAAAGAGTATCCAAATACAAACGTCTTCACAAACGCCTCTGTTAGGGAAGGCACCGTCCAGACCCGCAGGCTGCATTTGGAGCCTGTTTCTGTTTGCTCTGTTCTCTGTGGGGGGCACAGCTCATTACTGTCCCAGGCAAGAGCCTTTCATAAACTTGCAAACCACTGCTGGCCAACCCTGCAACCTTCCCTCCTGCAAAGCGGGTTGCCAGGCTCCTCTCGCCTGCCCTGAGCTTTGTGTTTCAGACCCCTCATCTCTTTCCTGGCTTTCTTCTGAGCTGACTCCAGTTCCGCTCACCCCCATTACCTGCAGCCCGCAGAACCAGAGCCGGTGCTGGGCCAGGGCCTGCCCCGGTCTGTGCAGGGGAGATGGGAATGGAGGGGGGTGTGGAAACAGTGGTGACTTTTCAGTAGATGCACAGGGACTGGGAAGACAGGCGGGGTAGGCGGGTTATAGGTAACAGGAGTCAGGAGTTTTGCCCCCACCTCAGCATCCTCACCTCAGCGTTTCTGACAGTGGTGCCTAATGGGAGAACCATTTGCCCAAGCACTTGGCTCTCGGTCCAGTTGTCCTACAGGAGCTCAAAACCTACCACTGTCCAATCCCAGACCGAATCCTGCCTGTGGACAGGATTTGCTTTGCTCACACAGTTAAAAATATCTCTTTATTCATCTCTGACATTTTAGGACGACAGTTTTTTTTTCTTCCTAAGAATCATCCAGATTTCCAGCTTCTTTTAAAGTCTGAAGGTTTGGAGACAGCATGGATGTCAGGCCTGGGACGATGTACTGGGACTGGGTGGTGGCTCCCTGTTCCCTAGTCCCACCTTGCCCACTGGTATGGGCTGAACCCATTCCTGTGTTCCCTTGCAGCCCAGTAATAACAGATGGAAGCTCTAACCCCTGGGGCCCCCAACGTGACTGAGATCCCTGCTCTGCGTGCTTGGGAGTTCACGGAATGCATACCCACTTCCTACACTTTGTGTTCCTGCAGAGAAAGTCAAGTAGAGAAATAATTCACAACACAGGGCATCCGAGAAAAGATGCACAAACAGAGGACAGAGGACTTGTCAGGGGCTGGGATGGGAGGGAGAGCAGAGAAGTCTCCCCTGGGAGGAGGGAGCACGTCAGATGGAGTCCGAGAAATGAGGCGGATTTCCACAGGTGGTGATAGAATGAAGGGCAGAAGCACTCAGGCATACAAGCTGGTGTGTTACCAGGTGTGCATGGAGCTCAGGGCGCCGTGCAGGTGGGCATCTCGTGACAGGAAGCGAGGCCACAGCGGGAAGAGCGTCTGCCCGCGAGCTCCGAGCGCCAGGCCAGAGGAGTTGGTTTCATTGCGGGGAAAATGAGGAGAACTTGAAGGGATGCAGGAGGAAGCTGTGTGGATGAAAGGTGTGTTGTCACTGACTAACCAGGCAAGTATTCTTTATCTGATGTGCCAGATACTGCCGATACAGTGTAGGAAGTGAACCGACAGAAACAGTGGTCAGCTGTGACATCAGTCAGTGATGAGTGCAGTGAGAAACTACGGCAGAGGAAGGAGATAGAGTGTGAGTGTGGTGGGTGCTGGTGGAGCGGGTCAGGGGAGGCATGATATTTGCTCATAAGCTTGAATGAGAGTGAGAGAGTGAATCACTTGAGTCTGATCATTCCAGACTCAGGAATCAGCAAGTGCAAAGGCCCTGAGGCAGCACCGTCACATCCACAGAACAACGCAGAGGCTTCTATGGTTGGAGTGAGTCATAGGAAGAACTGTGGGTGGTGATGTGGAAGAATTCAAGGGTCAGGTCTTTTTGCAGGAAGAGAACTCTAGTTCAGCGCGAAGGCCTGATCAGGGACCAGGACAAGCTCAGGGGAAACAGTAGGAGCCTGTGGAGTGAGGAGGGCCTTAGCCGGGAGCAATTACAGAATCATACACAGGCTAAGAAAAAGGTACATTTTGGGTTAGTACACAATGTCCCCAAGCAGCACTGGCCTTGGGGAAGGCCGGGCTTTGAGGACAGGATGACAGGGGGTACCTCCCTCCCGATCTCTGGTGCCTTTGCCGTCTTGTGCACTGTCACCCTCGGAGGAGGAGGAGACCCAAAGTCCCACCTCCCCCGGAGTGCAGACCCTCAGCCTGGAACTGCCTGGGAGCTAGGCGAAGGCAGGGCCTGGCGCCAACGCCTGTCCGTCCCCAGGGGCGCCGGGAGAGCCCTTCCTCTAAGGTTCACAGCACTGGCCCGGAATGTTGGAGGCCGCTGGCAAACAGCCCGGAGCTCTGGCCTGGTGCAGCTCTGGGAGCAATGACGTGTTGAAGCAAGTGGAAGAAGCCGAGGGGAAAGGCAGTGCAGGGGGAGGGGCGGGTCGGCCGTGCAGAGCGTTTCCCGGGCCGGGCAGTGTTCCTGGGAAGGCTGCGGTGAGGAGGTGGCGAGCAGCGCTCTGAGAACCACGCACGGCTCGGTTCCCCGAGGGAGCGCGGGCCTCCCCGTGGCATTCTTCTGCACTCGTTTTTCACCCGCGGTGTTCTCCTTTCCCTTCTTACTTGGCCAGCAGAGTTCCGAGAGTGAGCTCCTTAGGAAAGAATCCCGTGCTGCCTCTGTTGGCCAGGTTGAAGGGCGAACGGTCCAAAAACACCGCTTGTCAATATCCGTGGCGAGAGCGCCCTCTTCTGGCCCCTCTTCCTTTTCTTCAGCTGCCATTTTCCCCGACAAGGCTGGTTGTAGACTTAGCTGGCAAAGGAAAAAAGCCAAACGCATCGCTGAAGAGGAATTGCTTTACCCAAGATTGATAGACCCTTCATCCACAGTTCTAATCCTTGCTTGGCTGTGGACTCTTGAGTCTCCGCACCCAGCCTTTCTTTAAATTGACGCTTGGTCTCTTACTTATCCAGCAAAAAGGCCAAAATGGCGGAGTTCAGAGCTTGCAGAGGTCACTGCTATCACTCAGCGGGTCACTTTCTTGCCTTGGCTGCCATGCCTTTGAAAAGCTGACACAGTGTGCTGAATGGCTGAAGGCCGAGCAATCTCTCAGGCCCTTCAGGGTCCCTACGGAGTAAGAAAGAGCCCACGCCTGATGAGCCCGGAGTGTGGTGGAAAGATGGATGAGTAAACTCAAAATAACACAGGGGAACAAGAACAGGTGGTAACGATGGGGAGGGGGCGTCCCTGGTCTTGGAGGGTATGCAACCGATGTCTTTGGGCCTTCACACCCACGCGTGAAAACAACGAATGCCTCCCCAGCCCAGATCATTCCTCCTGATGCTCCGCTCTCCATGTGCTAGAGCCCACGGGTCAAACCTTGATGGATGTAAGATATTCCTGTTATAAACTCACAAAATGATTTTAGCTTTGAAAGGGACAAAAAAGTCTAATAATTTGCTCTGATTTTTTTCCTTCAGTGTCAAGGGGAAATTTTTCTTTCATGACATGAGCATTTTGAGAAACTGAATCTCTACCCTCAGCTAATTAAAATTGCTTTTAGTTGCAGTATATCAATGCATAATGAAAAAGGTTATGGATGGGTTCTTTTAGAAATTATAGCGTTGGAAGAAACAATTTTCTTGCAAGACAAGGGAGAACCATATTTAATGAGACCCTTCACAGATCACTTTTGTTTTAAAGAAAGAGACACATGTTATTTATTTGAAAGTCAGAGTGTTAGAGAGACACGGAGAGACACAGAGAGAAAGACCCCTGATCAGCTGGTTCACTCCTCAAATGGCCACAACATCTGGGGTTGTGCCAGGCCGAAGCTAGGAGCCTGGGATTCCGTCTGGGTCTCTCACATGGGCGGGCCACAAGCACTTGGGCCATCTTCTGCTTTCCCAGGCACATTCACAGGGAGCTGAACTGGAAGCAAAGCAGATAGGACTCAGACCAGCACTCATACAGGATGCTGGCATGGCAGGTGACACCTCCACCCACTGCACCACAATAGTGGTGCCACAGATCATTCTTCACAAGGAGGGGTCTCACCCCTCCTTCAGGCTCTTATGATATTTGTCCATGGGTGCTACCAATAGCCTGGTGTATATGGAGCTGTGAATGTTACTCACTGTCCAGTGACCTTTAACCTTTGTGTTAGAACATTTGTTTAATGTATTTTTTTTTTTTGCATTTTCTTCTATGCTCTGATCTTTTGCATGAGAAAAGCTTTAGTTAAAATCAGGAGGAAAAGATGGATGGCAGTGGAGAAAGAACGCTTGGTGAGTTGTGCGAGCCTTCCCATGCCCTTCTCTTAAGCTACAAATCCAGATCAAATACATTGTGAGCTTTTGGAGGCTACTTCTCAGCAGTCACCTATGGTGTTGCTTTTTTATTTTGTTTATTTTAAAGTGGTTTTAATTGCATGGGAGTCCATTGGCATCTGTGTGACTCCGGTTATCTTTTCCATTTCTTTTTTTCAACGTTGGCTTTAACTCTCCGTGGTGCACTAAAGGAAGTGTCTCTTTCCTTCATGGTGGGATGTCAAACCTTCCTTGCCAGCTGGGATTCCTTTAACCTTTGTTTCTCACACTACGCTGTGTTCAAGAATGTCTGCTAAACCCAGGCCAGACGAGGTTTCAATGGGAAATGAAAGGCTGCCAAAGCACCCACCTCTGCTTGGCTGCCTGTGGACTGACCAGCGCCCAGGCTCTCCGTGGTGGCCACCAGCAGCCTCTTTATGGTTTGGGTATGCCTTGCTTGTGTCCCTCATAGGCTCATGAGTTGGGAGTTTGGTGCTGAGAGGTGCTGGGACCTTTAGGAGGGGGGCTAATGGGGCCCCTTCCATCATTGGGGGCATCTGCCCCAGAAGAGAAGCTCGCCAGGAACTCCGGAGCCCAACCCCTGAATTGCTCTCTGGCTTACTGTTCTTTCATTTTTCTTTCTTTCTTTTTTAAGATTTATTATTTATTTTTAAAGAGTTACAGAGAGAGAGAAAGAGACAGAGACAGACAGACAGAGATCTTCCACCCATTGGTTCACTCCCCAGGCAGCTGCAAGGCCTGGGGCTGGGCCAGGCTAAAGTCAGGAGCCAGGAGTTTCCTCTGGCTCTCCCACAAGGGTGGCAGGGGCCCAAGCACTTGGGCCATCCTCTACTGCTTTTCCCAGGCCAGTTGGAGGGAGCTGGATTGGAAGTGGTTCAGCCAGGACTCAAACTGGCACCCATATGGGATACCACCCATTGCAGATGGCAGCTTTACTCGCTACGCCACAATGCCAGAGTCTCTGGCTTCCTACTTTGAGATGTGATCTCTTCCTCCCACACAAGCTCTCACCATTGTGACAGCCTCTGCCATCAGGTCCTGACCAGAATCAGAACCGCTGGGGCCATTTGATCTTGGACTCTGAGCCTCCAAAACCCTGAACTAAACAGACTTCTTTTCTTCATCCATAGTCCATTCAGGTATTTCATTACAGTAATGAAACATGGAGTAATGTGAGCCCCTTGGAAAAGTGGCCACAAAATCCTTAGATTGTCCCGAGAAACACTGTCTTGCAGATTTATCAGAAACTCAGACTTGAAGGTGACTTGGAAGAATGCAGAGGCTTAATGTTGTTTTGAACTCGCTCCATTCTTGGCTGGGCTCCATGACCAGCTCTGGCTGCAGGCGCGAGGGCTGTGCGTGCTTACAGATGGGAGGCGGCTGAGACTTTCAGTTCCATTTCCATTTTTTGTTAGGAGCACAGTTGGTAAATCAAGGATTTAAGTTCAAAATGATGGTAAGGGCCCTCTCTCTACAGGGCTCAGGAGTGTGCTTTTGGGAAGTTCCTCAATGAGGATGAGGAAGGAGCTATGGATTCCCCACCTCTGTTTCAGCCTTAGTAACTCAGGTTTTTTTAAAAAAATTTTTATAAAGATTTATTTGCTTATTTACTTATTTGAAAGGCAGAGTTAGAGAGAGAGAGAGAGAGAGAGAGAGTGTGAGAGAGAGTGTTTCCATCTGCTGGTTTACTCTCTAAATGGCTACAGTGGCCAGGGCTGGGGCAGACTGAAGCCAGGAGCCAGGGGCTTTTTCCAGGTCTCCCACGTGAGTGAAGGAACCCAAGCACTTGGGGCATCCTCCAGTGCTTTCTCAGGTGCATTAACAGGGATCTGAATTGAAAGTGGAGCAGGTGGGACTTGAACCAATGCCCATATGGTATGTCAGTGCTGCAGGCAGTGGCTTAACCTGCTGTGCTACAGTGCTGGTCCCAGCAGTTCAGTTTTAATTCTATTTTCTGTATTTGATGACATTACAAGATCTTGTTTGAAGAAAAGGTTACCCACCAAAACAAAACACAACAAAAAAAAAATCCTGTGAAAATTAATAGACTAAATTATTCCCAAATTTCCTACTAGCTCTACAACTCTTTGAGAGATTAATGGTGTAAGACTACTTCAGAAAGTTCATGGAAAATGAAATTAAAAGATGTGTTTATTTTGGTTCAAAAATTAAAATTGATGCCTAGTTTTTTTCACAAGACACATTATCTGTGAACTTTTTGAAGATCCCTTATATGCCTGGAGTTCAGAATTTGTTGCAACAACAACAACAACAACAACAACAACATTTTTCATTCTATTTTCCGTGATCTTTTGGAAGTACCCCTGTATGTATTGCTTTCCTGTCCTGTGATCATGATGGCTTCCTTCCATTTCTGCTACAGTCGTGTGGCTGTTGTAACAAAACCACCACAGAGAGCTTAGACGCTGCTCAGCTCAATGGCAGCCAAGGAGGGGTTGGATTTGGTGCCAGCCTTTAATTTCAGAATGAAACTCTTCTTTGGCAACCCTACCTATCTCACAGGGTTTTCAGTTACAGGAATCGATTACTTCATTTTTTTTCTTAAGCCATTCAGAGTAGAATTTTCTGTAACTTGCAACCAAAAGATTAACAGTAGAATCAGATACTATTAAAAGATAACCAAGAAATGTCTATTGAGATGTCACAGAGAATAACTTAGAGTATTAAATGCTTGAGATAAAAATCAAGAAACAGACATATCCTAAAATTCATATGGAATCACAAAAGACCCAGAATAGCCAAAGTGATCCTGAACAAGAAAAATCAAGCTGGGGCATCACAATTCCTGACTCCAAAGCATACTGAAAAGCTACAGTAATTAAAACTTCATGGGACAGGCTTAAAAACTGATACATCAATCAATGGAATAGAATAGAGAGCCCAGAAATTCATCCATGTATATACAGCCAACTGATTTTTGACAAAAGTGCTTAGACCATACAGTGGAGTAAGAATAATCTCTTCGACAAATGATGCTGGCAAAACTGAATGTATATATGTAGAAGAATAAAATTTGAGGGCTGGCGCTGTGGCACAGCAGGTTGATGCCCTGGCCTGGAGTGCCAGCATCCCATATGGGCACTGGTTTGAGACCCAGCTGCTCCACTTCTGATATGGCTCTCTGCTATGGCCCAAGTCCTTGGGCCCCTGCACCCGCATGGGAGACCTGGAAGAAGCTCCTGGCTCCTGCCTTCAGATCGGTGCAGCTCTGGCCGTTATGGCCAATCGGGGAGTGAATCAGCAGATGGAGGACCTCTCCCTGCTCTGGCTGCCTCAGCCCCCTTACCCTTAGTAGTTGCTGGCCTGCCCTCTTTCCCCAAGCCCCACTCTCTTCCCCAAAGCGCTGCCCACCTAACTGGTCATCTTTTTTGTCTGTGCCCCTGGTGAGCACAGAGTACTCAGAATAATGTATGATTGCTCCCTCAGCCTTCTCCTTTGCGATTTCCCTCCCTCCCTCGCTTCTTCTTGCATCTTTCAAATCTTCCAGATAGCCAGTAGTAGCCACATTGATTTCAGCAATTTTCAGAATGGAATCAGGTGACAATAGCTCACTCCGCACATGTATGAATCAACTGTGATTTTGAATCAAAATTGAGTTTAACAACAACCAAAAGGTATTTTAGACTAATGGTGAAAAAAGAACTTAGACTCAAGTAGCTTAAATAAAATGTTGGCAAAAGAAAAAAAAAAAAAAAGGAAGAAGAGGCGAGGACGACCCCTGGACCGACCAAAGCCCGTGTGCCACTGCATCCCTGCGCCCAGTGCCTACGTCCTGTGGCCACTGCCAAGAGAAAGGCTGAAGGGGATGCTAAAGGAGATAAGGCCAAGGTGAAGGACGAACCACAGAGAAGATCCGCAGGGTTGTCCGCTAAACCAGCTCCTCCAGAGCCAGAACCCAAGCCTAAAAAGGCCCCTGCAAAAAAGGGAGAGAAGGTGCCCAAAGGGAAAAAGGGAAAAGCTGATGCTGGCAAGGGTGGGAATAACCCTGCAGAAAATGGAGATGCCAAAACGGACCAGGCACAGAAAGCGGAAGGTGCTGGAGATGCCAGGTGAAGTGTGTGCGTTTTTGATAACTGTGTACTTCTGGTGACTTACAGTTTGAAATACTGTTTTTTATCAAGTTTTATAAAAATGAAGACTTTTGTTTTACTTTTTTTTTTAAGCTATGTTGTTAGCACACAGAACACTTCATTGTTGTTTTGGGGGAAGGGGCAGAGGTCACTAACAGAAGGTCTCCGGAGCTCGATCGATGGGGGAAACAGCTTCCCCTGTAGTTTTGAGAGACTTCCTCTCAGCTCCCAGGAAGGATTCCTGCCTTTGACACAGCCACCGGGGCACACACCCTGTGGTGTGGAAAAACTAAATTTGATTTTATGCCCTCTTCCTCCCCCCGTCTGCCTTCAGCATAGACTTAATGCCCTCAAACCCAGAGACCTGTTGGGACCTAACCCCAGACAATTTGGTACGAGCATGATGGGCAATCTGGACTTCACAGTGACACCCCTGAGGTGGGGCCCTGAAAAGAGCAGCTGTTCCTTCTTTAGATTGTGGATCTTCAGATTGACCATTCTGCCATTTCATTTCATTTCCTGAAAGTCAGGGTCGGCTTGTGAAAAGTTGTTAAACAACATGCTGAATGTGAAATGTCAGCCCTCACTCTAAACTCCCCCTTTCCAGAGCGTCGTGGAGACTTCATTGGGTTTTATAGTGGCTTTCTGATTTGGTCGTCCATTGAAGAAGGGAGTTGAAAGTTGTTGTATACTGTTCATGATTGTCTGCCCATGTCCTGCCTGAAATACCATGATGGTTTATGGAAAGAATCTTTAATAAAGCTGGATACAGTTTGGCTTGGAAAAAAAAGGCCTCTCCTTCTTGTGGGGAGCAACTTGGACTAGACTAAGTTACTGGAATTGAGACTTATTCTATGCATCTGCTCTCCCACAATATGGCGCTAGGAGAGGAGGAAACAGCTTCTACACAGCTGCCTCCAGTTCAACCAATAAACTGTAGGACCTGCTCCTGATTGGAGGAGAGCAGCGTACTCGGCGTGTGGGTAGCAGAGTTGGGATTGGTGGAAGAGGACTATAAAGGAGGAGAGAGACAACATGCACGTGGAACATCTATCTGAAGGAACACCTGTGCAGCCCCCGAGAGAGCCGGCCGGCGGTGTGCTGCTCCCCCGCGGAAGTGGGGAAAGTGGCAGGGGGAGCCGCCCTTCCACGGAGGTGGAAGGGACGGTAGCCAACCCGGGGAGGGCCGAGCAGACAAAACAGCGCAGGGTCCTGTGTCATTCCTCCACGAAGAGGGGGAGCGACACCTTCTCTCTCTGTGTAACTCTGGACTTTCAAGTAAATAAATAAATAAATCTTAAAAAAAAAAAAGAATGAAATTGGATCCATACTTCTCACCATATATGAAAATCAACTCAGTATGGACCAAAGACCTAAATTTAACCCCAGACTACAAAGTTGCTGGAAGAATACATAGGTGGAAACATTCCAAGTCAGTAGGGTGGGAGATGACTTCTTGGACAAGACCACCAAAGCACAGACAACAAAAGCACAACTAAACAAATGAGACTATGCCAAACTCAGAATCTTCTGCACAGCAAAATAAATGACCAATAGATTGAAGAGACTTCCAACAAAATGGGAAAAAATATTTTCAAGCTACTCATCCAACAAAGGATTAGTAGTCAGAATGTATCAGCAAGTTAGAAAACTCAACAACAATAAAAAAAAAACAGTGAATCCAGTTAAGAATTAGGCAAAGGACATCAATAGATAGTTCTCAAAAGAAGAACAACAAGTGGCCAACAAATATAAATGAAAAAGTGCTTAACATCTCTAGCCATCAGAGAAATGCACATCAAAACCACAATAAGATAGTACCTCACCTCTGTCAGAGGGACTGAAATCCAAAACACAGAGAGTAACAAATGCTGACGAGGATATGGAGAAAGGGGAACACTTACACACTATTGGTGGGAATGTAAATTAGTGAAGCCACTGTGGAAAACAATGTGGAGATTTCTCAGAAAACTAGAAATAGACTTGCCATATGATCCAGGAATCTCACTACTGGGTATATATCTAAAAGGCATATGTTGTATCAAAGAGATACCTGCACCACCATGTTCATAGCATCACTGTTCACAATAGCCAAAATTTGGAATCAACCAAGGTGTCCAGCATCAGATGAATAGATAGGGAAAATGCAGTGTGTATATATATATATGTATATATATATATATACATACATACATACCATGGACTATTATTCTCCTATAAAAAAGAATGAAATTCTAGCATTGCAGCAAAATGAATGCGACTGGAGAACATCATGTTGCGTTAAATAAGCCAGCCCCAGAAAGATAAATACCACGTGTTCTCCCTTATAAGTGGGCACTAAAGTAAAAAAAAAAAAAGAAAAAAGAAATGTCTGTGTATCAGTATTGCTACAAATACAGGTTTGTAAAATTTGTTTTACATCTTTTTCAAACTAGTGGCTAAGAATGTTATACTACTATGGTTTTAATAATCTGTGATTACTTTAAAATTTACTGTATATGGGTGAAATGGTCTTTTTTCCATTCAATTACTGTTTATAGCCATTGCTTATATTCCTACTAAACTAGGGTCTTTTGCTTTTTACTTGTTAAACTTCTTATTAGGTGAAGTAGTAAGCTTTTTTACTTTAATGTAAATTTAAAACATGTTATCTCAAAAACTAAAGAAGGGATAAAAGAGGGAGGGAGGGATGATGAGGAGAGAGTTGGAGGGAGGAACTGAATATTATATTCATAGAATTATATATATGAACTATATTGAATCTATTAAAAATGATTAAAAAGAAAAATAATCAAAAGTAAAATTAAAATACTTTAACAACAAAAAACCAAGGAACGGATTCTATCAATAAAAAGCTTTAGCTGTCACTTGTGTATGGAAATAACAGTCCTCATTACTATGAATGGGACATTCCCTTTGTTTGTTTAGCTATGGATGAAAATTCTCACCTCCTGAAGCTGTTAAACTTAGAGCCTTGGTCTCTTTAGCGTGTTTGAACCATCTGAACTTGTGTGGACACCGCCAAATCTGCCACACATGAAACCGATAAAGACAGATAATTGCAGAATTACAAAACAGTGAAGGGAGAAACCTAAATCACTTTCCTGTACTACTTACTGAGAGAGTTCTTTGGGGGCAACTTTTTCACGGCAATTTGGATTATCCAATGCCTTAAAACTGCCTCCTCACTTTTACTTAGCAATGTCACTTTTGGGAATTTATGCTAAGACATAGCTGTGGATATTTGTGAAGTTGTAGATACAGAGGTGTTCATTAGAGCATTGCCTTGAAAACACACACACGCACGCACACACGCACGCACGCACACGCACACGCCGGCGTGCTTACTGTTCTGGGATGAACCGTGGACCCTCAAGTTCATTTGCTGAAGTCTCTATGCCCCAGTACTGCAGAATGGGACTGAATTTGAGACAGGGACTTTAAAAAGAAATTAAGACGAATGAGGTCCTACAGATGGCCTTAATGCAATGTGACAGGTGGCTTTAAAATGCAATTAGGACATAGACACATGGCGAGGGAAGACCATGTGAGGATACTGGAGAAAGACAGCCATCTACAGGTCAAGGAGAGAGGCCTCAGGATGAAATCAACCCTGCCAACATTGTAACATTTTAAAAATTTTATTTATTTGAGAGGGAAAAAGAGAGTCACAACACACACACACACACACACACACACACAACTAGAGTGTGCTCCAGTCTGCTAGTTTATTTCCCAAATGCCTACATGGTCAGAGCTGGGTGGGGCTGAATCCATTTCTCCCACTTGAGTGGCAGGGACCCAATCATTTGACCCATCTTCAAGTCTGCATGAGCAGGAAGCTGGAGTGTGGAGCCAGAGTGGTTTTTGAAGCCAAGCTCTCCAACGTGGGGGATGGGTGACTTAACTGGTAGGCCAAACACCTGTGCCATCCCTCCTGACATCTTGATCTGGGACTTCTAGAGTTGGTAGATGGTACATTTCTGTTACTTATGTCATCTAGTCTGTGGTATTTTGTGATGGAAGGCCTAGCACGCACACACACACACACACACACAGAATTTAAATGTTGAGCAATAGGAGTTAAATTGGAGTTAAATAGGAGTCTTTCTGGCTCATCTGCATAACTGAACTCCATTCATCATCCTTTCAAAGTGATATGGATTGAATAGTTGTGGCAAACTGCTAGTGATATATCATCATGTAACATTGACTACAAGGAATATATATATATGGTGGAATCCCATGTCTGTAAAAACTAAGTGTATGTGTATTGTGTAAGGGATATTTATTTGATCTGAGCGATGATACATTCCTTTGTTGTTTAGGAAACTAAGAGGGGCCGGCGCTGTGGCACAGTGGGTTAGTGCCCTGGCCTGAAGCACCGTATGGGTGCCGGTTCGAGACCTGGCTGCTCCACTTCCAATTCAGCTCTCTGCTGTAGCCTGGGAAAGCAGTAGAAGATGGCCCAAGTCCTTGCGCCCCTACACCTGTGTGGGAGACTCGGAGGAAGCTCCTGGCTCCGGCCATTGTGGCCAATTGGGGAGTGAACCAGCAGATGGAAGACCTCTCTCTCTCTCTCTGCCTCTCTTCTCTCTGTGTAACTGACTTTCAAATAAATAAATAAATCTTTTATTCAAAAAAAAAAGGAAAGTAAGAAACAGTGTTGTTGCTGCGGGGTGGGGGAGAGGGGCGGTCATGAAGCTCCCAAGGGAACACTGGTTAAGCTCATCGAATACAAAATACAAAGGTGCTCAGACAAGGCCACATCGGGGCCGTGCTTGCAACAAGACAGGCTGCTGTCCAACCACAGACATGACTATGTGTCCTTTCCAGACACAAGTGATGGCTGTTTTCTTTCAAATTAATGGCAACTCTCACTTTTTTTTTCTTGGCTAGATAAAAATTTGGTAATTGGCCACCAAATTGTCCTCTCTTCTGGACAGAATCCAACCCAGATTTGCTCCTTGCTTTCTTCATTTTCCCCTAAAGTTATCAATAACCTCCCCACATCCCATAATAAGCCCTCTCAACTCCTCCCAGAGGTGTTTGTTGGCCTACGTCACTGGGATTCTCTGATTCTAAATCAGGTAAATCTGGCGCCTCCCAACCTCCAGAGCCGGCTGAAAATTCCACCTCAATTGAGTTGTAAGTGGTTCTGGTGTTTTTTTTTTTTAAAGATTTATTTATTTCCTTTAAAGGCAGAGTGACAGGTAGTGGATGGGTGGAGCAGGGAAGAGATCTTCTAAATAGAAGATCTAAATGCTGGGTTACTCCCCCAGTGGCCATAACAGCCAGGGCTGGGCCACACCAAAGACAGGAGCCAGGAATTCCATCCAGGTCTCCCACCTGTACCTCAGGGACCCAAGTACTTGGGCCATCACCTCAAGTACACGAGGAGGGAACTAGATTGAAGGCCGAGATGGGACTCAAACCTAGGCCCTTTGATTTGGGCTACCAGTGTCCCAAGTAGTGGCTTAATCTGCTGCTCCATACTGCTGTGCCTGGCTGATTTATTTTTACTTTCTATTTTTTCTTACACTAAACATCATTATTTATTTTTAACTAATATAAAGGAAAAAGTGAAAAATGAAGGAAGAATGAGAAAACAGCAGCAAGGGCTTCTAGAGTGTGCAGACGTGAGCATATCCATGTAGTGTGAGTTCAGGATAGCTTTCGCTGCAGTCGGCGCTGGCTTTTGGCTCTGATCTCTACCTGGGAGAGCCTTTTTTTTTTTAAAAATAAATTTTATTGTGTGTAATTAAGATATACAATGGGGCATGTGTTATGGAACACATACAGATTGTAAAATAGTTAACTATAGTGAAGCAAATGAACATAGTCATCATCTCACATACTTAACCTTTTTGGATTTTTTTTACACATGCATGTTGGACATCACCATTATCATTAGCAAAAACCTATTTCTAACATCTGGTATGCTACGTATCGGAACTCTGACAGTCAGAGGTGAGTGGAGCTAATGTGCATATAGTAGTCACCTCTGGAATGCAGCCTTTTTTTTTTCACTTCCAAGAGTTACCTATTTAACCATAGTACCAAAACATTTTAAAAGCAAATGCAGAAAATTAGATAGTTGGAGAACAAATCCCCAAGATATTGTGAACAGATGACTTTTTTTTCTAAACAATCAAAGGTCTTAATAAAGACAACATGGAGCACTAAAAATTATTTTTATAAAATGCAACCTAAGCTCAAAGGTAAATAAAGGCCCTTCATTATTTCTTATTAAGAGAGGAGGCCAATCTTCCAAGAAAACCTTGTTGTTGTAACAAAAAGTACCATATTCTGTGTATTTTTAAAATTTTTTACATTTAAAAATATTTTACAATGTTCAAAAACATTTTGTCACATTCATTCACTTCAAGTGTAGGCCATGTATACATATGTACTATTTTTTCTTGAAATCAAAGATATTAATATCACAGAGTGAGGGACTCATGACGATGTTCATAATGTGGGGAAGGAAGAGTGTATTATCATTTACATGGTATGATTCAGTGAAGCAATAGTTGTAACCAAATGCCAAATGATGGGATATCCACCCAACTTCTGTACTCTTTCTATATATTAACTTCACAAATAAAACATGTAACATTGTCTTTCTGTGTTTGGTGTATCTCACTTACCATAATGATCTCCAGTTGCATCTTCTTTGTTGCAAATGCCAGGATTCCATTCTTTTTTATGGCACAGTAATATTCCATCATGATTATATACCACATTTTCTTTATTCTGTCATCAGAGGACATTTAAGTTGATTCCATATCTCTGCTATTGTGAACTGAGCTGCTATAAACACGGGAGTGCAGGTAACTCTTTCATATGCTGATTTCATTTCCTTTGGATATATTCCCAGGAGTGGGATAGCTGTATAATATGGTAGATTTGCTTTTTTGAGGAATAGCCATTATGCTTTCCATAATGATTAAACCAACTTGCATTCCTACCAACAGTCTATTAGGGTACCTTTTCTTCTGCTACCACACCAGCATTTGTTATTTTTGATTTTTGGATGACAGCCATTCTAATCAGGGTGAGGTGATACCTCACTGTGGGTTTTATTTGCATTTCCCTGATGGCTAGTGATCCTGAGCATTTTTTCATGCATCTGTTGGCCATTTGTATTTCATTCTTTGAAAAATATCTGTTCATATCCCTTTGCCCATTTCCTGACTGGATTGATTTACTAAGTTTCTTAATCTGCTTATATATTATCAATGTAAACCCTTTATCAGGTATATAGTTTGCAAATATTTTCTCCTGTTCTGTCAGTTGCCTCTTTACTTTGCTAATTGTTTCCTTTGCTGTGTAGAAGCTTCTTAGCTTGATATAATTCCATTTGTGTATTTTTGCTTTCATTGCCTGTTCTTCTGGGGTCTTATCCAAGAAGTCTTTGCCTAGGCCAATGTCTTACAGTTTCCTCTATATTTTCCTCTGGTAATTCGATGGTTTCAGGTCTAAGGTTTAGATCCTTGATCCATTTTGAGTTGGTTTTTGGGTAGGGTGTAAAGTAGGGGTCTTGTTTCATACTTCTGAATGTGGAAATCCAGTTTTCCCAGCACCTTTTGTTGAACTGTGAGAAGGTTTAAAACCTTCTGGGGTGTGTGTGTGTGTGTGTGTGTGTATGTGTTTTAATTTCTATCAATGAGTAAAAGGGCACATTTATACTAGCAGTGAATGGGGCTTTTAATTGAGAAAAATGTCTTCTGAGAGGACATAATGGTTTTTACCCCTGACTCATTTTAGAATTACTGGATATCCAGTGATTTAATTTATTATTGATTAAAGGGGAAGGAGAAGATCAATGAAGAATGGAGCCTTTAAGTTTTTTTATTTAAAGATTTGTTTATTTTATTTGAAAGGCAGAGTTACAGAGAGAGAGGGAGGGAGGTAGGAAGGGGAAAGAGAGAGAGAGAGAGAGAGAGAGAGAGAGTGTGTGTGTGTGTGTGTGAAAGAGAGAGTTAGTTTCCATCTGTTGGTTCACTTCCCAAGTGCCCGCAACGGCCAGAGTTGGGCAGATCCAAAGCCAAGGAGCCAGGAGCTTCTTCCAGGTCTCCCACACAGGTACAGAAGCCCAAGCACTTGGACCATTTTCCACTGCTTGCCCAGGTGCATTAGCAGGGAGCTGGATCAGAAGTGGAGCAGCTGGGAATTGAACCCGTGCCCATATGGGATGCTAGTGCTGCAGACGGCAGTTATACTTGCTCTGCTACAATGCTGGCCCCAGCCCTTAATATAAAATCCTCCTGTTCCCAGTTTCCCCCGGGCTATCTTTGGAAGGAAAGGTGTAGTC